GCAGCCGTCATTGTTGTTTGGCGGGTCCGGGCTGGGGATTTGAACCCGCCACCTTAGGTGTATGTGGCTGGCGCCTTAGCCGGTTGAGCTATAGGCGCCGGCCGTCTCTACTAATATTAAAAAAAAAAAAAAATTGAAGCAAGAGAATAGCTTGAGCCCAAGCATTGGAGGTTGCCGTGAGCTATGTATGATGCCATGGTACTTTACCCAGGTGACAGCTTGAGACTCAGTGTCAAAAAAAAAGAAGAAGAATGTGTGCTTGGCACCTGTAGCTCAGTGAGTAGGGTACCAGCCACATACACTGAGGCTGGTGGTTTGGAGCCTGGCCCCAGCCTGCTAAACAAAAATGACAACTGCAACCAAAAAATACCCAGGCATTGTGGCAGGCACCTGCAGTCTTAGCTACTTGGGGCTAAGGCAAGAGAATTGCTTAAGCCCAAGAATTTGAGGTTGCTGTGAGCTGTGACACCCTGGTACTCTACCTAGGGTGACATAGTAAGACTTTCTCCAAAAAAAAAAAAAAAAAATTAGGTTGGCGCCTATGGCTCAGTGAGTAGGGTGCCTGCCCCATATACCAAGGGTGGCGAGTTTGAACCTGGCCCCAGGCAAACTGCAACAAAAAAATAGCCAGGTGTTGTGGCAGGCACCTGTAGTCCCAGCTACTCGGAAGGCTGAGGCAAGAGAATTGCTTAAGCCCAAAGGCTGGAGGTTGCTGTGAGCTGTGACACCATAGCACTCTACCGAGGGCAACAAAGTAAGACTCTTGTCTCTAAAAAAAAAAAAAATTTAAATAATGTATATATTTAAAGAATACCAATTCTTGGGCAGTGCCTGTGGCTTAGTGAGTAGGGGGCCGGCCCCAGCCAAACTGCAACAACAACAAAAAATAGCCGGGCGTTGTGGCAGGCGCCTATAGTCCCAGCTACTTGGGGAGCTGAGGCAAGAGAATTGCCTAAAGCCCAAGAGCTGGAGGTTGCTGTGAGCTGTGATGCTACAGCACTCTACTGAGGGCAACAAAGGGAGACTCTGTCTCAAAAAAAAAAAAAAAAAAAAAAAAAGAATACCAATTCTTCACAAACTCTGCTGAAAAAACAGAAGTGGAAACACTTCTCAACTCATTTTAGGAGGCTACTATTAGTGTGTTACTAAAACAAGACAAAGATATCACAAGAGCAGAAAAGTATAGACCATTATCATTTATGAATAAAGACATAAGAATCAGCTCAGCACCCATAGCACAGTGGTTATGGTGTTGGCCACATACACCCAAGGTAGCAGGTATGAATCTAAACAATGACAACTGCAACAAAAAATAGCTGGGTGTCATGGCAGGCGCCTGTAATCCCAGTTACTTGGGAGGCTGAGGCAAGAGAATTGCTTAAGCCTAAGAGTTGGGAGGTTGCTGTAAGCTGTGATACCACAGCACTCTACCAAGGGTGACACAGTGAGACTAAAAAGAGAGAGAGAGAAAGAGATTAGAATCTACAAGATTGGCTTGGTGCCTGTAGTTCAGCAGCTAGGACACCCGCTGCATACACTGGGGCTGGTGGGTTTGAACCTGGCCCAGGCCTGCTAAACAACAATGACAACTGCAAATAAAATGCTGGGTGCTGTGGCAGGTACCTGTATTCCCAGCTACTTGGGAAGCTGAGGCAAGAGAACTGCTTAAGCCCAAGAGTTTGAGATTGCTGTGACCTATGCCAGGGCACTCCACTGAGGGCGACAAAGTGAGACACTGTCCCAAAGAACAAAAAAATCTCATCTGTACAAAGAATAGAAAAATCTGCTGGGTGTGGTGGCATGCACCTGTAGTCCCACTTACTAGAGGGATTGGGGGGAGAAGGACCGCAAGAGCTCAGGAGTTTGAGGTTGCAGTGAGCTACTATGACACTACTGCATTCAAGCCTGGACAAGAGAGCAAGATCCTGTCTCCAAAACAAACAAGTAAGCAAACAAGCCACCCCCAATGGAAATGGCATACAGATAAGCATATATGGATCAATGGAATAGAATTAGGAGTCTACAAATAAAACCATGTATCAATAGTCAACTTATTTTTGACAGAGGTGGCAAGACCATTCCTTCAATGAGGGAAGAATAGCTTTTCAACATGTAGGCTGAGACTCGTGTGTGTGTGTGTGTGTGTGTGCGTGTGCCATAGTGTGTGTGTGTGTGTGTATGTGAGCCATAGTCTCACTTTGTCACACTCCATAGAGTGCTGTAGCATCACAGCTCACAGTAATCCACTTGCCTGGGTCTCTCAGAGGGCTAGGAGTATAGGGGTAACCTTTTGTACTGAGAAGTTTGAATACACAAAGAATGAAGTCAGAACCCTAGCTCATACCACATACAAAAATTATCTTCAGGCCAGGTGTGGTGGTTCACTCCTGTAATCCTAGCACTCTGGGAGGCTGAGATGGGTGGGTTGACATGAGCTCACAGTTTCAAGACCAGCCTAAGCAAGATGGAGACTCTGTTTCTAAAAATAGCCACAGGTGACTGTAGTCCCAGCTACTTAAGAGGCTGAGGCAAGAAAATCACTTGAGCCCAAGAGTTTGAGGTTGCTGTGAGCTATGATGCTAGATAGAGCACTCTACTAAGGGTGACAAAATGAAATTTCATCTCAAAAACAAAAAAATTGTCTCGAAATACATCAACAACCTAAATATGAGAGCTAAAACTATTATAAAAATGTTGCATTAAATCTAACACTGCCCAAAGAACGAAAATACAACCTACTGAATGGGAGAACATATTTGCAAGTCATATATGTTATAAGGGTTTAGTGTCTAGAATATACAATGAAGTTTTGGCCAGGTACAATGATTCTGATCTGTAATCACAGCACTCCAGGGGGCCAAGTTGGGAGGATTGCTTGATATCAGGAGTTTTAGATTAGCAGGGAGTGCGGGGGGGGGGGGTAGGCGGATAAAAGACTGGCCTAGGGAACATGGTGAGCCTCCATCTCTATAAAAAATGATCACACCACTGGACTCCAACCTGGGTGACAGAGTAAGATCTGGCATCTATGTATTAAAGAGTACAGAGTCTCACTTTGTTGCTCCCAGTAGAGTGCCATGGGGCCATAGTTCACAGCAACCTCAAACTCTTGGGCTTAAGCGATTCTCTTGCCTCAGCCTCCCAAGTAGCCCGCCACAATGCCTGGCTATTTTTAGAGATGAATTCTTACTCTAGCTTAGGCTGGTCTCGAACTGGTGAGCTCAGGTAATCTGACCATCTTGGCCTCCTGAAAAAAAAGTTTTTAAAAAATAAAAACAGGCTGGCTCGGCACCTGTGGCTCAAGTGGCTAAGGCGCCAGTCACATACACCTAAGGTGGCAGGTTCCAATCCAGCCTGGGCCACCAAACAACAATGACGGCTGCAACCAAAAAACAGTCACACGTTGTGGCAGGTGCCTGTGGTCCCAGCTACTTGGGAGGCTGAGGCAAGAGACTCGCTTGAGCCCAGGAGTTGGAGGTTGCCGTGAGTTGTGATGCACCCAGGGTGATAGCTTGAGGCTCTGTCTAAAAAAAAAAAAAACAGCTGATTGTGGTGGCTTACACCTATAATCCTAGCACTTTGGGAGGCCAATGCAGGATTGCCTAAGCTTAGGAGTTTGAGATCAGCCTGAGCAAGAATAAGACATTGTCTCTAACGCCTCAACCCTAGGCGTGGTGCTCTGAGACTATAGTCACAGCTACTCAAGATGCTGAGGTGGGAGGATTGCTTGAGTCTAGGATAGCAGTTTTCAACCTCTGGGTCGTAACCCCTTTGTAACAATGAAAACACATCCTGCATATCAAATATTTACATTATGATTAATAACAGTAGCAAAATTATAGTTATGAAGTAGAAACAAAAATAATTTTATGGTTGGGGGTCACCATACAACATGAGGAACTATATTTTAGGGTTTCGGCATTAGGAGGCATTAGGAAGGCTGAGGTTGCAGTGAGCTGTGCTGAGTCACTGCATTCCAGCCTGTGTGCTAGAGCAAAACACTACCTCTAAAACAAATGAATACATAACTAAAATATTTTTTTAAAGTTTGAGAAAAACTACTCATTCATTACTCTTGTTCTACTTTATGATTTTTTCATAGGGTCCTCCTGGGCTTTATATGACAAACTCTTGTTATGCTTGCTACAGTTCAGAAATAAAAATGTTAGAAATCACGCTGAATCATCTATCAACTCCAGAAGCATTTCTTTTTTGTTTTTGAGACACAGTCTCACTTTATTGCCCAGGCTACAGTGCCAGGGCATCAGCCTTGTTCACAGCAACCTCAAACACCTGGGTTCAAGCAATCCTCCTGCCTCAGACTCCTGAATAGCTGGAGCCCACCATAATACCTGGCTAATTTTTCTCTTTTAAGGAGAGACAGGGTCTCATTCATGCTCAGGCTGTTTGAACTCCTGAGCTTAGACAATCCTCTTGCCTGGAACTCCCAGAGTGCTAGGATTGTAGGCTTGAGCCATCTCACCTAGCTTCAACATAGTCTCTTTCTTTTTTTTTTTTTTTTTTGAGACAGAGTCTCACTACGTTGTCCTGGGTAGAGTGCTGTGGCATCATAGCTCATAGCAACCTCCAACTCTTGGGCTTAAGCGATTCTCTTGGCTCAGCTTCCCAAGTAGCTGGGATTACAGATGCCCACCACAACGCCCAGCTATTTTTTAGTTACAGTTGTTTAGCTCGCCCGATCGGATTCAAACCTACCACCCTCAGTGTGGCTGGCACTATAACCACTGTGCTATGAGCGCCAAGCCTCAACATAGTTTAAGTGCTGTTTGTGCAAAACAGGTAACTTTAGGAGCACTCACACTCAAAACAAATGTCTACTGGTTCTTGCTGACTGAAAGCCAAACATTCTTGGGTAGGATAACTCATGACAATATCATCTCCATTTTTTCTTCTTTTTTTTGAGACAGAGCCTCAAGCTGTCACCCTGAGTAGACTGCCATGGCACCACAGCTCATAGCAACCTCAACTCCTGGGCTTAGGTGATTCTCCTGCTTCTGCCTCCCAAGTAGCTGGGACTATAGGCGCCCACCACAATGCGTGGCTATATTTTAGTTGCAGCCATCATTGTTGTTTGGTGGGCCCAGGCTGGATTTGAACCCACCAGCTCAGGTCTATGAGGCTGGTGCCTTAGCCACTTGAGCCACAGGCTGACAATATCATCTCCAGAAGGGACAAGGATCCTCAATGAAATGGCAAGAACTGCTGCCAAGGAAAATGCTTCCATTTTTCTGTTGTGATGTTAGGTAGGAAGAACCCTAGTTCTAAGGACTATTTTATTTCCTTAGCCAAAAAGTCAAGTTTACTTTTACCTTGAAATTCTGTTAGGAAATGCTATAGTGCTATGCAGTCATCCTATCTCATAGCAACCTCAAACTCCTGAGTACAAACGATCTTCCAGCCTCAGCCTCCCAGGTAGCTGGGACTATAGGTATCTTGCATAATACCTAATTTTTCAGTAGAAACGGGGGTCTTGTTCTTGCTCAGATTGTACTTGAACACCTGAGCTCAAGTGATCTTCTCATCTCAGCCTCCCAGAGTCCTAGGAATACAAGCATGAGCCACCGTGGCCAGCCAAGGAAGCACTTTTGCCCTTTAAAGTATGGTACAAGTTCAGAACAGAAGCAGTTTCTGAATCTGAAAAAGCAATTTACCATTTGAATTTTTCTTTTTTTGAGACAGAATGTCATTATGTCACCCTTGGTAGAGTGTGGTGGCATCACAGCTCACAGCAACCTCAAACTCTTGGGCTTAAGTGTTCTCTTGCCTCAATCTCCCATGGAGCTGGGACTATAGGCACCTGCCACAATGCCCAGCTATTTTTTGTTGTAGTTGTCATTGTTGTTTAGCTGGCCTGGGCTGGATTTGAACCTGCCATCCTCAATGTATATGGCTAGAGCTATAACCACTGTGCTACGGGCACTGAGCTACCATTTGAGTTTTTAAAAAATATAAAAACTGGAGGCAGCGCCTGTGGCTCAAAGGAGTAAGGCACTGGCCCCATATGCTGGAGGTGGTGGGTTTAAACCCAGCCCCAGCCAAAAACAAAAACAAAATGTATATATATATATAAAAGCTGGGAGCTAGGCACCTGTGGCTCAAGCAGCTAAGGCGCCAGCCACATACACCTGAGCTGGTGGGTTCAAATCCAGCCTGGGCCTGCCAAACAATTACAGCTGCAACCAAAAAATAGCCAGGCGTTGTGGCAGGTGCCTGTAGTCCCAGCTACTTGGGAGGTGGAGGCAGGAGAATCGCTTGAGCCCAAAAGTAGGAGGTTGCTGTGAGCTGTGATGCCTCGGCACTCTACCCAGGGTGACAGCTTGAGGCTCTGTCTCAAAAAAAAAAACCTAAACTGGGGCCAGGAGTGGTGGCTCACACCTATAGTCCTAGCACTCTGGGAGGCCTAGGTGAGTGGACTCCTTGAGCTCAGGAGCTAAGAGACCAGTATGATCAAGAGCAAGACCCCATCTCTAAAAACAGCTTGGTGTTGTGCTGGTGCCTGTAGTCCCAGCTACTCAGGAGGCAAGAGGATTGCTTGAGCCTAGGAGTTTGAGGTTGCTGTGAGCTATGATGACTTCATAGCACTCTACCCAGGGCCACAAAGTGAGACTCTGTCTCCAAAAAGAAAAAGAAAAAAATACACATAATGTGTTACAAACAAAATCTTATGAATAATGCATATTTGTAAAGTCAATGGCACTAAGTAAACAACAAAAGTGATCTTAAAGTTTACTAAATACATTATTTGCATCTCATCAAGTTAACAATCACATTGGCAAATGCCAGTCTCCATAAACAGGTCAGATATAAAGGAGAGGTGGAAATATAACACAAGAAATGAACAGGAAAGGTAGGGTAGTTACAACTTTACCTTCTTTTCAACACCTCCCTCTTCTCTATTCGATTGAAAAGTTCTTGCTCTCTCTCTTTCTCTGTCATCTGCTCTAGACGGGCCCTGTCTTCCTCATCTCCCATGAGATCTTCTCCATAGCCATCATGAAACTCTTCATCTTCTGAGGAGGAGTCTGAATCTGAACTAGAAGAGGAGCTGTTGCTGTCAGAATCTGACACTTCACCTGCAACAAAAGCCCAACACAAGATTACACTATGCTGCAGAAGACTGAGGACACAGGTGACCGCACAGTGTTGATTATCATATCAACATCCTTATCTCTCCCAGGTAAAGTGGCACACAACCACCTCAACTCCCTTGATAGCAGTCCTTGGTCTGCCTTCAGTAAATGCAAAAACAGATTAGGAGAATTTAGGCTGGAAAAAGGAACCAGCTTGTTATTTTTATTTTATTCCCTTTCCTGGGGTGGGGGTGTTTCACTGTATCACCCAGGCTGGTATTGAACTCCTGGGTTCAAGTGATCCTCCCACCTCAGTCTTCTAAGTAGCTAGGACTACAGGCTCATGCCACCACACTATTCTAGCTTATTCTTTTTAATTCAAATTTTATATTAAAAAAAAAACATTTCAGACCTATAGAAAAACATTCTAAGAACAGTTCGACCCCCATACATCCTTTACTTAGATTCACTCATTGTTAACACTGCCAACTTACTTTCTATTTCTGTCACACATAAAAAAATAATATATGCATTTTTATTTTTTATGTTGCCAAACTAAAAGTTTCAGAGATCATGACTCTTTACCCCTAAATATTTCTACCAAAGGGGACAGTCTTACATAACCAATTATACCATACAGTTTAGGAAAATTTAACACTGATACAATACCATTAACTATTCAGTTGGCTGGGCACAGTGGCTCACACCTGTAATCCTAGCACTCTTGGAGGCCAAGGAAGGTGGATTGTTTGAGCTCAGGAGTTAAGATACCAGCCTGGGCAAGAGCAAGACCCTGTCTCTACTAAAAAACAGAAAAACTAGCCAGACATGGTGGTACAGGCCTATAGTCCCAGTTACTCAGGAGGTTGAGGCAGAACCTCCTGAGTTTTGTTAAAGCCCAAGAGTTTGAGGTTGCTATGAGCTATGATGATGCCATAGCACTCTAGCCTGGGCAACAAAGTCAGACTATCTTAGAAAAAAAAGAAAAAAAGAACGAAGAGGGGCTTTATCTAAAAAATGCAATCAGTATAACCTAATTCTTTGTACTCTCAATGAATTCCAAACAAAAAAAAAAAAAAGAAAGAAAGAAAAATGTAAGTTTATTATTCTAGTTCTGAAACAACTTCTCTTTTCAAACTAGTCTTAATAGAAAATTCTGGCACGACCTTCCAAAAAAGAACATTTTCCCTGAGTTTTGAATCTGGTTCAAGGATCTCTCCCCTTATCTAGACCATGTATAACCAAGAAAAAGGAGAAGGGCCAGTCGCAGTGGCTCACATCTGTAATCCCAGCACTCTAGGAGGCCGAGCAGGGTGGACTGCCTGAGCTCAGGGGGTTCAAGACCAGTCTGGATCAGAGTGAGACCTGATCTCTAAAAATAGCTGGGTGTTGTGGTGGGCGCCTGTAGTCCCAGCTACTTGGGAGGCTAAGACAAGAGAATCATTTCAAGATTCAAGAGTTTCAGGTTGCTGTGAGCTAAGATACCATAACTGAGAGTGACCAAGTGAGACTCTGTCTCAAAAAAAAAAAAAAGAAAGAAAGAAAGAAAAAGAAAAAGGAGAAGGCGCTCAGGACAAAGTGAGTTGAGACTAATGCAGGGATTCCTCATGGGTTCCATGAATGGGTTTCAAGGGTCTCACCAACCCTCAGGTTGCACGCAGCTTTCTTGCTTCATATAGATCCTCAAAGGATTCATGAACATTGGAAAATTAAAGACCACATCTTTTTTATTTTTATTTATTTATTTTTTAGAGACAGAATCTTACTTTGTCACTCTCAATAGAGTGCTTTGACATCACAGCTCACAGCAACCTCCAGCTCTTGTCTTGCCTCAGCCTCCCAAGTAGCTGGGACTACAGATGCCTGCCACAATGCCCAGCTATTTTTTGTTGCGGTTTGGCTGAGGCCAGGTTTGAACCTGCCACCCTCTGTACATGGGGCTGGCACCCTACCCACTGAGCCACAGGCGCTGCCCAAGACCTTGTCTTAAAAGGCAGACGTCATGCTATAATGCAGGCACCTTTACTCCCCTCTTCTGCCTCTGCATCTTCAACCTGACATCAGTGAAAGCCCCCAGGTCTGGGCTGCTTGGCTCACCTTCCTCAGGGGCTGAGCTCTCAGCTGAACTGTCTTTGTCTGAACTGCCTGAGGAGGCAGTTTTGTTGGCCTGTTTCTTCATTGTTCCTTTCTTCTCTATTTTTCTGGCTTTTCCTTTCTTCTTATTTTTATTGCTCCCAAATGTCCACTATAAGGAGAAAAGAAAAAGGAAAACTGAAAATGTATATGAAAATACCACACTGAACCCTGTGATTGAATTAATGTACACAGCTATGATCTAATAAAAAAAAAAGAAAGAAAGAAAAAGAAAAAGGAAAACTGAAATAGGAATAGGGACTTTACTGGGAAAGTCTGGAAGATTCAAGAGTTAAGAGTCTCTGATATTCGTTTTTGAACACAAAACAAATACTCTTTATATGAAAAAAGGTAGAGATTTCTGATAACTTGATTAAAACTTCTTAACTTCTGGTTTGAAATTTCTTTCTTT